TGAACGTCTGGGTGATGCCCTCCGCACGACAAAAGCAACCAAGGCAGCCAGAGGCGAACTCGCCACCACGGTCGAAGTGAAGACGCAAGACAGGGAGACCTTGGTGAACACGCACAGAGACAAGCCATGGGATAAGAACGTCAGGCATGACGGCCTTCCTCTCTTGGGGAAACACAGTGGTGTTGCGTGTGTAGTCGTCGACAAGCACTTGGAAGTAGCGCTCGCAACGCGTCCCATGGACAGGGGAGGGCCCCAGACATCCATGTGCAGGGTCTGCAGTGGTGAAGAGGTGGGGGGGAACGAGGAGGAGTGAGGGGCACGGCGGAGCCGACCCTCGACGCAGGGCGTGCACGGAGGCGCGGGTGAGGAGGGGAGTGCAAGGAATAACTCAGGGAGGCCGAGGACAAGACGGTGCTGGGACATGTGAGGGAGATGGGTAAGGGCGGGGTGACCTAGACGGTAGTGCCACAGAAGCGATGGGTGAGTAAGCGACCGACATGACCACGCCGCAGCAACCTGGGAAGATGCAGATACCTGGGGGGCCGTCCCAACCGGGGGGGACGCAATGTCCAGCGTGAACAGGCCAGACACCGGGTCCCGAGGGAACGTGGTGAGGGGGGCACCAGTGGCGGCCTCAGTACAGACAGCGTACCGCTCGTGCCCAGGAAACGTAATGGTGACGCCAAGGTCCTGGAGGCAACCGACACCGACTAGGTGCCTAGAGAACGAGGGGATGTGCAGGCCTGTAAGGGAGCCCGAGGGATCCGTCGGACAGGGGACGGATGACTACAGGACCGGAGGAAGGGTCCGCAAGAGCAATCGCAGCGGGAGCGGCAAGCGGCGTAAGTATAGTGGAGTCGCGAAAGAAATACCGGGAAGCGCCTGAGTCCAGGGTGAAGGAGAGCGCGGCAGCAGCGACAGAGGTCGGAGGAGTGAGGGAGGACCCAAGGCTACACAAGACAGGGGATCCTATGCTTGACGCAGCAGGGGAGCCTGAACTAGGCACACTGGGCACACCTACTCTAGGCAACACAGGGTAATAGGAACCAGTCACACTAGAGTCATCGACATACAGCATATACAAAGTAAAGCTAATCTCATCCATGTCCATGTCAAAGATCTGAACACCACAACAGAGCAGACTGTGCCAGTCAGGGAGGTCAGGCGATGGGACGAAACAGGTTGTCTAGGCGACGGAAGCAATGAGTGGGGGTATGGCCGGTCTTACCGCACACGAGGCCGTGGCGAGGACTGGTCTGGAGCTAGTACTGGCAGCGCCTGTCACTCTGACTACCACTCGACTTCACACCGCGCACACAACCACTGCGACCACCGTCACCGTTGGCTCCAGGCCACCCGGGGGGAGACGACCGACCCGCCGCTGCTGCTGCTGCTACTGCGGCGGCTGCTGTAGCTGGTGCTGCTGCTCGTCCAGCAACGGCACCTACTGCTGTTGCTGCTGGGACTGCTGCGCTGAGGCACCAACCCCAGCCCCCTCGTTAGTACTACCAGCGGGCGAGCCACCTCCACCACCGGCGCCACCCCCTCCTCCACTGCCTGAGTAGGGGCACAACACTGAAAGATAGAGACCGGCACGTTACCGCTAGACTGGGCGATAAAGCGTTGACGAGTCTCTACGGCAGACAGGGTGTCGACAAAGTCAGTGAAGGTGAGGTCAGCGGGGTGGAGACTAAGGAAGTGATCGCGGCGGTTGCAAGGCGGTCAGGGATGCTGGTGGCAAGCAGGTAGAGGGTAAAGTAATCGAAGGGCTGAAACACACTAAGCTGGGCCTTAGTGCAGGCAGCGCGCCAGGTCGTATCTAGCATGCGCAGGTGGGTGGCCGGGTCACCGACAGTAGGGAAAGACGCGAGATCAGGAAAGAGCATGGGCAGGATCAGGCGACCAACGGAGGCAGAGGGTGGGGTGGAATAGCGAGCAACAACAGCCTCTAGAAACTCCTGCGCAGTCCTGACCGACCTAAAGCGGGGGCGCTCGGACAGGGGGAGGGCATGACTAATCACAAGCTGAGCGACAACGTCACGTGACAACCGGACAGCACGGGCAAGGGCAGCAGTAGCAGCGGACTCACGGCAAGCAGACATGGGGTCAGCGGGTAGAGGAGCAGGGGGGTCTGGGTAGGGGAGCGTACCGTCGATGTGGACGGATAGGGAGTGGCCGTCCTGCCGCTGACCAGTCAGGTGTCGTTGGAGGTCGACGAGCCACGAGTCGAACTCAATCGGCTGCCCCTCCACATCAAAACGCAAGACCGAGTCCGCCATCATGGTCGCTGCATCAGCAGAAAGGCGGTACGGAGCAGTAGGGTGCGGCAGAAAGCGGTGATGTGCGGTGCATTGCGGTACAGCTCGGTGCAGTGCGGTGCAGGATGGTGCAATGCGGTGCAGTGCGGTGCAGAGTGGTGCAGAGCAGTGCAGTGCGCTGCAGTGCGGTATAGTGCGGTGTAGTGCAGTACAGTGTGGTGCAGAGCGGTGCAGTGCGGTGCAGAGCAGTGCAATACGGTGCAGAGCAGTGCAGTGCGGTGCAGTGCAGTGCCGAGTGGTGCGGCGCGGTGCAGAGGGCCGAGGACGGCGGCAAGGCATCTGGGAGACGGGGCCGCGGTCGGCGAGGCAACGGGGCCGGCTAGGCGACGGGGCCAGCAAGGGGACGGGGCCAGCAAGGGGACGGGGCCGGTCGAACGACGGGGCCTGCTAGGCGACGGGGTCGGCTAGGATGCAACGGGCTGGGAGACCGGGCCGGCTGGGCGACTAGGCTGGCGAGGCGACTGGGCCGGTTGGGAAGCGAGGTCAGCTAGGAGGCGGGGCCGGCAAGGAGGCGGGGCTGGCTGGGCGACGAGGCCAGCGAGGCGACGTGGCTGGCTCGAAGGCGGGGTCGGCTAGGAGGCGGGGCCGGCTGGGCTACAGGGCCGGCTAGGCGACAATGCCGGTCGGACGACGGGGCCGGCTAGGCGTCGGGGTCGGCTAGGAGGCGGGGCCGACTGAGCTACAAGGCCGGCTAGGATGACGGGGCCAATTGGGCGGCGGGGCAAGCTAGGAGGCGGGGCCGACGGGGACGATTGGGCGGCGGGGCCCGCTAGGAGGCGGGGCCGACGGGGCCGATTGGGCGGCGGGCCAGCTAGGAGGCGGGGCCGACGGGCCTAGTGGGCAGCGGGGCCAGCTAGAAGGCGGGGCCGACGGGGCGGATTGGGCGGCGGGGCCTGCTAGGAGGCGGGGCCAGCTAGGAGACGGGGTGGGCTGGGCTACGGGGCCAGCAAGGCGACAGGGCCGGCTAGGCGACGGGGCTGGCTAGGAGACGGGCCAGCACGTGCGGCAGGGAAACGGGGTGGCTAGGACCTAGGGCGGAAGCGCTGGGGGGGGGGGGGGACCTACCTACTCATGATACCATATCAAAGTGAACGAATGACTAGAACAAGACATACAAGGGAATATAACCTAATGGGTTGTACTCCCTAAGGCACAACCTTATATAGTCTACAACAACATACAATATATTTTTGACAATTGTACCCTCTACAGTCGGTTCCAGTAACACCTACCAAGCCTATAAGTATATATAAGATACAATTTAACATCTTTCTCTTTCCTAGTGACCCTCTTTTCTCTCGTAGTTCTGCCCCTAGGTAAACCTCTCGACCTCCTATGCCTAGCCTAGTTTCTTAGCTTGTTCGACATGGTTTCAGAGCAGGCCCCTTTCGCTCGGGCCTTCTCCTCACGCTTCCGCAGCGTACTCCACCCCACCCCCCCCCCCCGTCACGCCGCGCTGGCCCCGTCAAGCCGCGCTGGCCCTGTCACTCCGCGCCGGCCCTGTCACGCCGCGCCGGCCCCGTCACGCCGCGCCGGCCCCGTCACTACACGCCATGCCGCCGTGTCGCCGTGTCACCGTGCCGCTGGGTCGCCGTGCTGCGTGGCAGCTTCACCGCGCCAGCGCACGGACAGCTGTGGCCAGCGCCCTGTCCTAGGCGCCAGCCGTGACGCCCTCCCGCCAGTAAGCGCCGCGCCAGCCATGGCGCCTCGCTGAACATCCCCCCCTCTCTCCTCCGCTGCCTTTCCCCTCCTCCCCGCCGTAGCTGCTGGCGGCCTCGTGCCGTCCGCCCCCCTCGTCGACGCAGTGTGAGCCACGCCGATGGGTGCCTCGTGCTCTGCTGCCGCCGCCGCTGGGTGCCTTGACGCCGCCGCCGCCGCCGCCGCCGCCGCCGCCGCTGCGACCCGCCGTCGACGTCACCGCTTTGATTGCCGAGGGGTCGACCCGCTAGTAGCCGCCACAGCTGCTGAAGGGCATGGGGGTGCAAGGGTTTGGGGGTGTGGGGTGTGGGTTTGGGGGTGTGGTGTGTGGGGTGGGCTTTCGACTACCAAGCCTAGGGGGTGTATAAATATTTGTTTAGGCTTGGTAGGTGTGTTACATTGCTGGATCCTACTGTAGAGGGGATAACCCCCCTAATTGCATCTCTTTCTCTTTCCTAGTGACCCTCTTTTCTCTTGTACTTCTGACCCCTAGCTAAACCTCTCGACCTCCTATGCCTAGCCTGATTCCTTAGCTTGTTCGACAAAGCCATGCGCAAACGTACGGAAAAAAAAAAACGCGATGGCCTTTTGTGCGTCCAATAGGCACGATCCGTAGTGGGGTGCTGCTGAGTACTCTGTCTCTGTGCGTTTGTTTTGTTGTCACATTTTGCTAGGGCCGGGTCAGCAAAAGTTTTGTTTTGAAATTTGGGTGTCGGACATGTTCGCCAATCGGAATGTGGCATAAACGATCACCCAAACATTACGTGCCATGTGGAATCGCTAGGGCATCGCTGAGGGACCAAAAACGCAATGTGACGAGAAGTTCCACCAGACTGCCGCACAGCTCGAGAAATGTACACCAAAATGACGAAAGCTAAACTGTCGTAGCTTGTAGGAATGTACCCTCAAGTGACATCAGAAAATTGCTTCAGACAAACAGGCAGTGTCACATTGGAGGAAGAGACCATGGTCTGAGAATATTCTAGATTCCCAAAACATATATTCATCGAATATCAGCAGTACATACATAGTATATAGGAGCACTCATTACCCGTACATGGCAAGGACTACTATTACAAGAGCCTGGGCTGGGTATCTGTAGCATGGCTGCAAATTACAAGCCCATGCACCGTGTGTGCTGGGAACTTGCACTATAAGAGCCTTCATGTCCATGGTGATGTGATGTGCCCCCACCCATCCTCCATCCCCAATCCTCCATCCATCCATCCAACCATCCAACTCTCATCATCCATGGCTACCACACCATGGACTGGTGGCCTTCCACCAACCCCTCTCCGTGCCCCATCATCACCTTCCCCCCCATCTCCTCCACCATCTCCACCACTATCTCCCACCTCCACTGTTTGTTTTTTTTTTTTTTTTTTTTTTTTTTTTTTTTTTTCCCCTTGGGGATTTAGGCTTGCTTAAGGCCAGAGAGGTAAAAAAATCCGTCCCATCAGCAACGCTTGCAGCAATGCCTACGGGCTGAGACCTGGGCGTTCAGGTACTGCCGTAAACTGGCTAAAAAAACCCCTCAGCCATCCATCCATGGCCACCTCACCATGGGCTGGCTATCTGTTCGTGTTCGTCACCAATGCTTGGTGGGGGATACAAGAGGAGGCTGCAGAGCCAAGGCCTTCACTCATGATGGCTTGCAGCCAGCCACTCCAGCACCCTTTCCCAAGCACGTGGCTCGTTTCGCGGACCCAACGGACCGGCATGAATTAACCCCTTCCTTGTTGGTCGACCCTCCATTTCACCCCAGAATGGACTGACCCTTTGATGGCTAGCCTTCCGTTCCGATCCCCAAATGGCCTGACCCTTGAATGCGAGGTGTCATGGAGTCTCCTAGTCTTAAGACATCCAGGTACCCTTCGCAGCCCCGCTCTGCGCTTAAACCATTAAGCTGAAGATGCTACACCGCCTGCAGTCGGTGCACACCCTACAGAGCCGAACCGGTCTGGCCTGGGTTCAAATTCTTAGCGAGAACACCACGAACCCTCACACCCTTGAGCCAAGCCATGCCACCAACCAATAGGCTTTGCCATCATCCGATCAGCCATCTGTCCCACTTGGGCCACCATCAAGCCACCTTTCCAACTTGGGCCACCATCAAGCCCTTCCCAACGTGGGCCACCATTAAGCCCTTTCCAACTTGGGCCACCAGCAAGCCCTTTCCAACTTGGACCACCATCAAGCCCTTCCCAATGTGGGCCACCATCAAGCCCTTTCCAACTTGGGCCACCAGCAAGCCCTTTCCAACTTGGGCCACCAGCAAGCCCTTTCCAACTTGGGCTACCAGAAAGCCCTTTCCAACTTGGCCCACGATCAAGCCCTTTCCAACTTGGGCCACCATCAAGCCACCCATGGCCACTCCACCATGGGCTAGCTGCCTATCCGTGTAGCCAACACGACGTCACCAAGACTTGGTGGGGGATACAGGAGGGGGCTGCAGAGCCAAGGCTTGCAGCCAGCCACTCCAACCACTCATGCACATGGCTCGTTTCGCAGACCCAACGGACCAGCATGGACTGATCCCTTGGCCACCATCAGCCATCAATCCAACTTGGGCCACCATCAAGCCCTTTCCAACTTGGGCCAACCATCAAGCCACCCATGGCCACTCCACCATGGGCTAGCTGCCTATCCGTGTAGCCAATACGACGTCACCAAGACCTGGTGGGGGATACAGGAGGGGGCTGCAGAGCCAAGGCTTGCAGCCAGCCACTCCAACCACTCATGCACATGGCTCGTTTCGCAGACCCAACGGACCAGCATGGACTGACCCCTTGGCCACCATCAGCCATCAATCCAACTTGGGCCACCATCAAGCCCTTTCCAACTTGGGCCACCATCAAGCCACCCATGGTCACCCCACCATGGACTAGCTGCCTGTCTGTGTAGCCAGCACGACGTCACCAATGCTTGGTGGGGGGGACAGGAGGGGGCAGCAGAGCCGAGGCCTTCACTCATGATAGCTTGCAGCCAGCCACTCCAGTAACTCCCAAGCACATGGCTCGTTTCGCGGACCCAACGGATCAGCATGGACTGACCCCTTGGCCACCACCAGCCAAAGATCCAACTTTGGCCAACACCAGCCATCCGTATGCTGCCTTGGTGTTGGAACCTGTGAGGCAAGAAAACGATAAACCTTAGTGGAGGTTGATGGGAAAATACCACAACAAAATACGCTAGGTTAAAAAAAAAACCCAACCGGAAAGAACTTGACAACTCACCACTGAACTGCTGGCGTCTGTCCCCATGGCGTTGGCGTCTGCTCCCTTAAGCGTTGGTGCTACCATCCTGTTGAGGAGGCAAGAAAGGCAAAGAACAGAAGTTAGTAAACAGCAGGGTGCAAAATGGGAATTGGAAAACGAAACAAGAACGAGCAAAAACCGCAGAGGAAAAAACAACAGCATCAAACAACACGAAACTCAAATGACAATGCATTCATGCGCAATGAGTGGAGTATGTGAGAGAAATGAGTGTAAATGAGTGGAATGAGTGTGGATGAGTGGGGTGTGTGCGGATGAGAGGAGTATGAGTGAATGAGTGGAATGTTTATGAATGGGTTGAGTGTGTTTGGATGAGTGGAATGTGTATGAATGGGTGGAGTGTGTGGATGAGTGAATGTGTATATTCGGGTGGAGTGTGTGGATGAGTGAATGTGTATGAATGGGTGGATTGTGTGGATGAGTGAATGTGTATGAATGGTTGGAGTGTGTGGATGAGTGGAATGTGTATGAACGGGTGGAATGTGGATGACGGCCACAGCAGAGGGCTGAGAGGCTAAATCGAGCCTAAATCGTGACAACCTACTGTAACGTCCTGCTACCCATACCCGAGGAGGATCATCTACCAGGCCGGGGAAATGCGAGTGAATGACGGGGTGAGTGAACGATGAGGTGAGTGAATGATGAGGTGAGTGAATGATGAGGTGAGTAAACGATGAGGTGAGTGAATGATGAGGTGAGTGAATGATGAGGTGAGTGACTGATGAGGTAAGTGAATGATGAAGTGAGTGAATGACAGGATGCGTGAATGATGGGTGAGTGAACGGTGGGCTCAGCTGAGTACATGATGGGGCGATGAATGGTGGGTGGGTGAATGATGGGATGAATGAATGATGAGGTGAGTGAATGATGAGGTGAGTGAATGATGAGGTGAGTGAATGATGACGTGCGTGAATGATGAGGTGAGTAAACGATGAGGTGAGTGAATGATGAGGTGAGTGAATGATGAGGTGAGTGAATGATGAGGTGAGTGAATGATGAGGTAAGTGAATGATGAAGTGAGTGAATGACAGGATGCGTGAATGATGGGGCTATGGGGTGAGTGAACGGTGGGCTCAGCTGAGTACATGATGGGGCGATGAATGGTGGGTGGGTGAATGATAGGATGAATGAATGATACGGTAATTGAACGGCATGGTAAATGATTGACGTCAGTGCCTGGATGGTACTATGAGCGAATGATGGTTTGTGAGTGAATGGTGTGGAGGAATGGTGGGTATGGGAGAATGCTACTGAGGAGGAATGGTTGGGAAAGGGAACTTAGCAAGATGAAGTTGTTGTAGAACTGAATCTCGTTGCTGGAAGGCGCCAACATTCCGCAGCCAACATCAATGGGGCTCCTTGCTGCCCATCATGAAGTCGGTCAAGGGGGTGATGATGCATCTGCAAAAGGGAAAAATACCGGTTAGTAATCATTCTTGAATTGTTAAAAGTACTGAAGTGAATGAACCCTTTAATGAAGCTTACATCCGAAGCCTCAGTGGACGCCAAAACGAGGTAGGCAAAATCGCGGATGGTGGATGGGAAGGCTTCTTGATGGCGCTCGAGTAAGCAACCCCCTTCTTGAAAGGTGAGGGTTGACCTTGCTGCCCTTCATGAAGGTGCTGAAGGGGATCCAATACGCATCTGCACACACACAAAGAACCAGTTAATACTCGTTCATGAATGGCGAATGAAATGCTGAAAATGAGTCCTTCAAAGAATCTTACCTGAGAAGCCGAAACTGCAGGCTCGGCGGATGGCGGTTTTGGTCGGAAATGAGGTAGGCGAAATCGCGGATGGTGGATGGGAAGGCTTCTTGATGGCGCTCGAGTAAGCAACCCCCTTCTTGGAAGGTGAGGGTTGACCTTGCTGCCCTTCATGAAGGTGCTGAAGGGGATCCAATACGCATCTGCACACACACAAAGAACCAGTTAGTACTCGTTCATAAATGTTTAACGAAATGCTGAAAATGAGTCCTTCAAAGAATCTTACCTGAGAAACCGAAACTGCAGGCTCGGCGGATGGCGGTTTGGGTCGGAAATGAGGTAGGCGAAATCGCGGATGGTGGATGGGAAGGCCTCTTGATGGCGCTCGAGTAAGCAACCCCCTTCTTGGAAGGTGAGGGTTGACCTTGCTGCCCTTCATGAAGGTGCTGAAGGGGATCCAATACGCATCTGCACACACACAAAGAACCAGTTAGTACTCGTTCATAAATGTCGAATGAAATGCTAAAAATGAATCCTTCAACGAATCTTACCTGAGAAGCCGAAACTGCAGGCTCGGCGGATGGCGGTTTTGGTCGGAAATGAGGTAGGCGAAATCGCGGATGGTGGATGGGAAGGCCTCTTGATGGCGCTCGAGTAAGCAACCCCCTTCTTGGAAGGTGAGGGTTGACCTTGCAGCCCTTCATGAAGGTGCTGAAGGGGATCCAATACGCATCTGCACACACACAAAGAACCAGTTAGAACTCGTTCATGAATGTCGAATGAAATGCTGAAAATGAGTCCTTCAAAGAATCTTACCTGAGAAGCCGAAACTGCAGGCTCGGCGGATGGCGGTTTTGGTCGGAAATGAGGTAGGCGAAATCGCGGATGGTGGATGGGAAGGCTTCTTGATGGCGCTCGAGTAAGCAACCCCCTTCTTGGAAGGTGAGGGTTGACCTTGCAGCCCTTCATGAAGGTGCTGAAGGGGATCCAATACGCATCTGCACACACACAAAGAACCAGTTAGTACTCGTTCATAAATGTCGAATGAAATGCTAAAAATGAATCCTTCAACGAATCTTACCTGAGAAGCCGAAACTGCAGGCTCGGCGGATGGCGGTTTTGGTCGGAAATGAGGTAGGCGAAATCGCGGATGGTGGACGGGGAGGCTTCTTGATGGCGCTCGAGTAAGCAACCCCCTTCTTGGAAGGTGAGGGTTGACCTTGTTGCCCTTCATGAAGGTGCTGAAGGGGATCCAATACGCATCTGCACACACACAAAGAACCAGTAAGTACTCGTTCATGAATGTCGAATGAAACGCTGAAAATGAGTCCTTCAAAGAATCTTACCTGAGAAGCCGAAACTGCAGGCTCGGCGGATGGCGGTTTGGGTCCGAAATGAGGTAGGCGAAATCGCGGATGGTGGATGGGAAGGCTTCTTGATGGCGCTCGAGTAAGCAACCCCCTTCTTGGAAGGTGAGGGTTGACCTTGTTGCCCTTCATGAAGGTGCTGAATGGGATCCAATACGCATCTGCACACACACAAAGAACCAGTTAGTACTCGTTCATAAATGTCGAATGAAATGCTAAACATGAATCCTTCAAAGAATCTTACCTGAGAAACCGAAACTGCAGGCTCGGCGGATGGCGGTTTTGGTCGGAAATGAGGTAGGCGAAATCGCGGATGGTGGATGGGAAGGCTTCTTGATGGCGCTCGAGTAAGCAACCCCCTTCTTGGAAGGTGAGGGTTGACCTTGCAGCCCTTCATGAAGGTGCTGAAGGGGATCCAATACGCATCTGCACACACACAAAGAACCAGTAAGTACTCGTTCATGAATGTCGAATGAAACGCTGAAAATGAGTCCTTCAAAGAATCTTACCTGAGAAGCCGAAACTGCAGGCTCGGCGGATGGCGGTTTGGGTCGGAAATGAGGTAGGCGAAATCGCGGATGGTGGATGGAGAGGCTTCTTGATGGCACTCGAGTAAGCAACCCCCTTCTTGAAAGGTGAGGGTTGACCTTGTTGCCCTTCATGAAGGTGCTGAAGGGGATCCAATACGCATCTGCACACACACAAAGAACCAGTAAGTACTCGTTCATGAATGTCGAATGAAACGCTGAAAATGAGTCCTTCAAAGAATCTTACCTGAGAAGCCGAAACTGCAGGCTCGGCGGATGGCGGTTTGGGTCCGAAATGAGGTAGGCGAAATCGCGGATGGTGGATGGGAAGGCTTCTTGATGGCGCTCGAGTAAGCAACCCCCTTCTTGGAAGGTGAGGGTTGACCTTGTTGCCCTTCATGAAGGTGCTGAATGGGATCCAATACGCATCTGCACACACACAAAGAACCAGTTAGTACTCGTTCATAAATGTCGAATGAAATGCTAAACATGAATCCTTCAAAGAATCTTACCTGAGAAACCGAAACTGCAGGCTCGGCGGATGGCGGTTTTGGTCGGAAATGAGGTAGGCGAAATCGCGGATGGTGGATGGGAAGGCTTCTTGATGGCGCTCGAGTAAGCAACCCCCTTCTTGGAAGGTGAGGGTTGACCTTGCAGCCCTTCATGAAGGTGCTGAAGGGGATCCAATACGCATCTGCACACACACAAAGAACCAGTAAGTACTCGTTCATGAATGTCGAATGAAACGCTGAAAATGAGTCCTTCAACGAATCTTACCTGAGAAGCCGAAACTGCAGGCTCGGCGGATGGCGGTTTGGGTCCGAAATGAGGTAGGCGAAATCGCGGATGGTGGATGGGAAGGCTTCTTGATGGCGCTCGAGTAAGCAACCCCCTTCTTGGAAGGTGAGGGTTGACCTTGTTGCCCTTCATGAAGGTGCTGAATGGGATCCAATACGCATCTGCACACACACAAAGAACCAGTTAGTACTCGTTCATAAATGTCGAATGAAATGCTAAACATGAATCCTTCAAAGAATCTTACCTGAGAAACCGAAACTGCAGGCTCGGCGGATGGCGGTTTTGGTCGGAAATGAGGTAGGCGAAATCGCGGATGGTGGATGGGAAGGCTTCTTGATGGCGCTCGAGTAAGCAACCCCCTTCTTGGAAGGTGAGGGTTGACCTTGCAGCCCTTCATGAAGGTGCTGAAGGGGATCCAATACGCATCTGCACACACACAAAGAACCAGTAAGTACTCGTTCATGAATGTCGAATGAAACGCTGAAAATGAGTCCTTCAAAGAATCTTACCTGAGAAGCCGAAACTGCAGGCTCGGCGGATGGCGGTTTGGGTCGGAAATGAGGTAGGCGAAATCGCGGATGGTGGATGGAGAGGCTTCTTGATGGCACTCGAGTAAGCAACCCCCTTCTTGAAAGGTGAGGGTTGACCTTGCTGCCCTTCATGAAGGTGCTGAAGGGGATCCAATACGCATCTGCACACACACAAAGAACCAGTTAGTACTCGTTCATGAATGTCGAATGAAATGCTGAAAATGAGTCCTTCAAAGAATCTTACCTGAGAAGCCGTAACTGCAGGGTCGGCGGATGGCGGTTTTGGTCGGAAATGAGGTAGGCGAAATCGCGGATGGTGGACGGGGAGGCTTCTTGATGGCGCTCGAGTAAGCAACCCCCTTCTTGGAAGGTGAGGGTTGACCTTGCTGCCCTTCATGAAGGTGCTGAAGGGGATCCAATACGCATCTGCACACACAGAAAGAACCAGTTAGTACTCGTTCATGAATGTCGAATGAAATGCTGAAAATGAGTCCTTCAAAGAATCTTACCTGAGAAGCCGAAACTGCAGGCTCGGCGGATAGCGGTTTCGAGCTTCTTGACTTCAATGGAGCTTCAATGACCTTGTGTTCTGCTCCTCTTTGAGGTTGTTGAAATTCTTGTGTGCCTGAACATGCACACAAATCGAAGTACGTACGCAGAATTTGACCACTCAAGTAGAATGGAAGTCAGATATTGAAAACGGAAGGATCTTCCAAGTGATTTTCTAAGTCCAAGTGATTACCGGGGAACTGAACATGGTGAGGTGAACGCGGATTCGCAGAAGTGTGGTTTGCTGATGGAGGATGGAGAACGGCGGTATTGGAGTGCTGCTCCGTAGTCGATAAGCATGTCTGTGCTGCTTGATAGTTTGAATCTGAAGAACCTCGATGGTTATTGCTCTTGGTCTTGAGATGGAGAAGATGATCTGCACACATAAACACATGATCAGTATCCACGAAGGTATAATACTGTTGAGCGTTGAGAATGAACGAAGTATAGTTGCTGTTACCTTAACGACGGAGGTTGAGGCTGTTCTCGTGGTGAAACGGATCACGTGAATAGGCGAGGCACATCTGCTTCTAAGAACTTGTGTAGAGAAAGGTCCGCTTGCAGATGCTTGATGAAGAGACGTTGGAACTAGATCTAGGGACATCAGGAAGACCGCTACTAGTAGCAGTGTAGCGGAGTCTAGATGTAGAAGCATAGCTTGTGGTTGTAGATGCTCGAGCTCCACAGTGCTTCGCCAAATGAAAAACGAGAAATAACTTTCTACCTTGTGGTCCTGTCAAATTATAGAGGTCGCATCATGATGTGTTGGAGAACTGAAGGATGCGTGACATACTGTGGATGAAAGAAGGTAGGACACCTCTCGCCAACGTTAGCAAGAACCACATGGCTGATTCTGATTGGGCCACAAAATTTGGGTGGGTGTAAATCGAACGTGTATCCAACTAGAAGTTTGCCACATCGACAAATAAATGCTATCCCAAACTGCTGGGTTTCGTCAGGAGGCCGGCGGCGGGTCGCGCATCGAAACTACTAAAAGTAATACGAGGTGGCGGCGGTGGCTGCAGTGGCGGTCTGTGGGCTATGCTGGATTCTGTGCATTCAGAATTTCCCTCTGCTGCAGAGCATAGCGGCTGCCTTTAGGCTCCAAGAGAAGGCTGAAGCAGACGAGGGTCAGACGAAACGAAAGTTCAATCAGTGTGACTCCTTCGGAACCTTTGTTCTCATTTCCAGGCAATTCGCAGCCTAGTTTTCCCACCACCCCTGTCTCGCACTTAACAAACTTGTTCAGATAAAAAGCGACTGGGGACCACCCTTCTTGTCCGTCCAATCAGGGCGAAGGAAAGCAGGAGTTGGGGGGCGGGCGCGATTCGAAAACACAAGTGTGTTCAGACGGAATTGTGAAACTTGAAACCACATTTCATGACGCCGCGCCGAGCCGAAGCGCCAGTATAGTTGGAGGTCCACCAAGCTGGAAACCGTCACGTGGCAACACCGTAGCAGCTCTGATCAAAATCCACCCCAGCAGGAGTTCGATCAACACAGTACAAATTTGACTTATCGCGCTGTAAATGCATTTTGCTTATGGATTACTATGACAAACACATCCGCTTTTCATTTTCTTTCCATTAACCCACGTGTGTATAGCACAGTTATGTATTACAATGGTGAATGCCTTGCATGCCAGATCGTGAACTGATAGCAGGCCCGCAAGGACAGGGGAAGCGTGTTTGCTGCATAGTCTCAATTTCATCATTTTGGATAACATTCATGGAGCACATTCTCTCCTATCGGGTCCAACGGCCTTTGCACGCGCCTCGTATTAAGATTATATAAGCTATATATAATTGATAGGCTTGGTAGTTGTTGCTGAACCTTACTGTAGAGGGTACAATCCCCTCCTTGTACCACTCTCTCTTCCTAATCGATTCTTTTTCTCTCGACACTTTCCTCCCCTAACTAAACCTCTGGCCGCCATTTCATGGCGGCCTTTCTTCCTAGTTAAGCTAGCATTCAGACATGGTATCAGAGCAGGCCGTCCGTCCCGGCCCTGCTCACTACGTTTCCGCTGCGCATTCCTGCTGCATTTGCCGCCTTCGCGGCTTTCTGCATGCCTGCCGTCGTGGCACCAAGATGTCGCGGCGGCCCCTTGATGCTGCCGTCCCGAGCTCGACGAGCAGCTGCGGCTCCGACGCCACGCTGCTGTGGCGTCATTCTGGTGCCGCGGCAGTGTCGTCGAGCTGCAGCCGCCGAGTTTCACCCCCGCAGCTGCTGGACGTGCAGCGCGTCTGCCCGCCAGTAAGCGCCGCGCTGAAGTCCTGCAGCCCCACCACAGCAGCCCCACCACCTCTCCCTCCCCTGCCTCTCCTCCTGCTCCTGCCGTAGCTGCTGTCTTCGGCTCGGTCGTCGCCAGCCCGTGCCACACCGCCGAGAGCCCTCAGCCGCCGCAGTCGCCGCCTGTCCTCATCGACACAGCCGCCTTGAACACGAGCTCCGCCGCTGTAGTCATTGAGGCCGCCCAGATGCGGCCAGCTGCCTCTCGTCCGGGGGTGTCATCGCCTAGCACGAGGGGTCGTTACCCGGCTGCTCACGAGAATGAGGGTGTCCGGGATTAGGGGGTGTGTGTGTGGGTTGGGTGGGCGTGTGACTACCAAGCCTAGGGGGTGTGTTAAGATTAAATAAGTTATATATAATTGATAGGCTTGGTAGTTATTGCTGAACCTTACTGTAGAGGGTACAATCCCCTCCTTGTACCACTCTTTCTTCCTAATCGATTCTTTTTCTCTCGACACTTTCCTCCCCTAACTAAACCTCTGGCCGCCATTTCATGGCGGCCTTTCTTCCTAGTTAAGCTAGCATTCAGACACCTCGAGCCTGTAAGCAGGAAACAGTCAAACCTGGGCAAACAGGACATTGAAGGGAAAAACCCACAGTAAACACTGACACTTGGTTACAAAGTCTCGCTCATGCAGCAGATAATTTGCCTGCGCGACTTCCCAGCTTGGATCCTCGCTGTTGTAAAAATACGATGTGATTGTTCGCTATCGTTCAAACTGCAGCCAATCAGGTTCAAGTCATGCTGAGAACCTAGTAGGTGGGATTGTATTGAAGTGAACCACGTGTTTAAGGATGGCCAGAATCTAGAGTTGGTAGAACCACGAGTAAGATACGGTTCTCGATTGCCTTAGAACACTTTCTAAGCGATCAGAAGGGTCTCATAGTAATGAATTGAGTATGATGAGGGGATACAAGGTGATATAACGTAAGATATTGTACTCTCTATAAGCATGCACCTATCTAGTCTATGACATATATAATTATATGTTGACATACCCCCTAGGCTAGACAAGGCGCAATGACTAGCACCAGACATGCAGCTCAGGGTGGCACTACTAGTCCAACCTCTGAAACAAGGGTCTGAAGATCAGTTAACAAGATTACAAAGGAAACAAGAGAAACCCAAGGTGGCACTACTAGTCCAGCCACTGGAACAAGAGCCACAAGGCCAGTCAAGATAAAATAAGGAGTAGTACACAATCAAGGTCCTAGCAAGTGAGAAGCTATAGGAACTAGACCAAGCTGTACACAGTGCCGCTGATGATCTTCAAGCGCGAGCGCCTTTGTAAAGATATCAGCTATGTTGGCACCAGAGGCCAAGTGTACTACGTGGGCCTGGCGGCGTTGCTGTAGCTCGCACATGAGGAAGTACCGCATCTGGATGTGCTTCGCTCTGCCCTCCATTCGAGGCTCCTGACACTGGAGGATCATGAACCTGTTGTCATCGTACAGGACCGAGGAAGAGCTAGGTCGTTCACCTAAGTCCGTGAGCAAGAAGGTCAGCCAGCGAGAGCTCCTGTATCGCCATGGCACTGGCGTAGATCTTACCCTCACAGCTAGAATGAGCAACTTACGACGAGCGGGTGGATCTCCAGGAGATGGCACCTGCACCAAGGCTACAGCAGTATCCCTGGGTGGACCTGAGCGTCTCAGCGTCGTCCGCCCACGAAGCGTCTGTGTGCCCTGTAAGGTCCACTAGTCAGCGTCCTCCTAGCACTAGCCCCATTTCTGATATACTTGCTAGATAACACAAACCCTTCTTAGCGGCCTACCAGTGTTGTGGTCGGTGTCTGCCTTTGGCCACAAGGCGAGCTATAATGCTGAGAGGGTATGCGAGATCTGGAGGAGTGCAAGTTATCAGGTATATGAGGCAACCCACCAGCTCTGTGTAAAGACCACCTTACTCTACAGACTCCTTGGGGAACTTGAGTTGAGAGCCTATGGTCTATTGGCACAGGTGTGGGTTGTGCGGAGGAGGGTTGAAGACCAAACATTTGAAGGACCTGGCGCACCAAGTGTGATTGTGCGAGAGTGATAGTGCGCACTACTCTGTCCCTGGAGATCTGCAGGCCAAGGTAGCGGTGCAGTTCTCTTAGGTCAGTGCAGGTGCGTCTCCTCAGTAGCTCAGCCTTCACAGAGGCCAGTGCGTCTCTGTCTGCATTAGCGAAGACCAGGTCGTCTACATAGACAAGGTTGTAGAACGAAGGGTGAAGGGTCTGTAGACGATGGGAAGAACTACAGGTACGCTAACGTAGCACGCAACATCTCGTGCCACTCACTGGGCGCCTGCTGCATGCCGTAAACCGGGCACCGAAGGAGCCACTCAATACCATGGGTGAAGGTGCCGGTGAATTCAGGGTGGACCTACTAGTCCAACCACTGAGACAGGGGTCCTGAGACCAGTCAGCAAGAGTACAAACAAGCCTTAAGCAAGCCAGGGCGGCAATACTATTCCAGCCACTGGGGGTAAGGCCACAAGGCCAGTCAGACAGGTATATACACTGGCGGAAAGTATTGCCCGGATAAAATCCAATTTTAGGTTCAAATAATTACTTGAATGCTTGTAACCGAGGTATCGCTGAATCTTCGAAGCTGGCTAGTAAGTAACGAGTGCAAGTTGCATTATGGTAACACGTTTGCAATTTGAAGGGGTCGCACTAATAGCGTGAACAAGATTTCAGTCGCGTGAGTGCATCCGGACAGTTTCGGCCAAGTAGCAGCCTAGATCCGTTTTCGACTACCGCATTCTCTCCGTAGTTCCTCCCGCAATCGTCGATTAGTCAGAATAGACTTTATACCCAAGGCTTCGACTAGGCTAAGATGCGATCGATAGAGGAGGGTCGTCGTGCCCGAATCATAACTTTGTTGCGTAGGGGGTACAGCACGCGGCGAATCGCGAAGGAGGTTGGCGTGGGGAAAAGCACAGTACACGACGTTGGACTTAAGGCGATTTCAGAGACTAGTCTTGAGTATGTGCGTCCTTCCATGCCCACTGCTGGTCGTCCACGCGTACTGACGAATAGAATTCGTCGTGGGATCATCAGGGCGATCACTAGCGGCGAGGCGAAAAGCTCGAGGCATGCGGCCCAGATCGTCGAATCCCAGCACAGCATCACGGTGCATCCTAGGACGGTGCGTAATGCGCTCAAATCCAACGGCCTTGTCGCCGTCCAACAGTCTAAGAAGCCGCGACTCTCCAAGAAAAATATCCGCGATAGGCTGGAGTTCGCACGGGCCCACGCGGATTGGACCATAGATGATTGGAGGCGGGTGATCTGATCGGATGAAACGAGGATCAGTTGGTTCTGCTCTAACGGCCGCACGTACGCCTGGGTTCGTGAAGGTACGGCTCTCCAACACCACCAGATTAGGCAAACCGTCAAACACGGGGGCGGCGGCCTGATGATTTGGGGCTGTGTCACATATGAGGGGGCGGGTTTCATGTGCAAAATCGATGGTAGAATGGACGGGCCGCTGTATCTGAGCATTTTGCAAGACGAGCTGAAGAATACCATCGATTTTTACAAGCTAACCCCCTCGGATGTGATGTTCCAGCACGATAACGACCCCAAGCATAAGTCCCGTGTGGTGCAGCAGTGGCTTCAGGAGCAGGAGTTTGGGGTCCTGGAGTGGCCGGCAGGAAGTCCTGATTTGAACCCCATTGAGCATCTTTGGGCTCATCTTAAGAGGGAGCTGGCTAAGCATGAGACACCTCCCACTGGTATGGTGGATCTGTGAGAGTGTGTACAAGAGGAGTGGG